GACCGGTAGTGACCCTGTAAGACAGAGTAGAACTGCCTCCGTGGGTGTAGACCGGTAGTGACCCTGTAAGACAGAGTAGAACTGCCTCCGTGGGTTTCAGAGACGAATTCTTTACATGAACAGACGGCCTCATCTTGCTTTTGTGGAGCAGCTGCTAGTTTCGAACAGCTGACCTTGCGGTTAGCAGCCCAATGTGAAACCACGGCAACCCTAAGCTCCCATAAAGATCTTACACTTTCGGAAATCATATAGACCACAGGTTCCCAAACGTATTCAGCCTACCACCCCCTTTTCCAGGAAAAAAAAATTTACTCCGCACCCCCAAGTCAATGAAACACTTTTGTGCTCTAGCCCATAATCCAGGATAAAATGTAGGTATCTGCTTCTGCGGAACCCTCGGATCGTTCCAGCATCCCTCCGAGGGTCACTGTGAGTTAGCATCGGCTCAATGGCAGTGAGCTGATGACCAAGATTCTCTTAAAATGTTTTCTGACACAGTCGAACACCCCTGGGAGGCCGAACTTGGTTCCCCTCTGCTGGGGAACCGAGGTGCGCTCACCCAGGTGGCAGCAAGGAGCGCTGGGCTGCGCGCTGGCCGCAGGGGGCCGGAAGAACTCCTGGTGCGTGGTGAGCGGGATCCCCAGCTTGGCGCGGTCCCCGGGCGGCACAGAGTCGCCCGCAAAGATGAGGCGCGCCTGGCGGATCTGCTCGCTGACCCGTGCGGGTAACTCGGGCCAGCCAAAGGAGGCGCGCACGTTGGAGACGCCCACCCGGGCGCGCGCGTCCGCGTGCATGCGCAGGTTGGAGACCTGCATGGCCAGCTTGCGTTCCCGCACCACTTCGCCCAACGGCGGGAACCCGGGCTGCAGCGGAAAGAACATGCGGTGCGACTCGGACACGGGCTCCCCGAGCGCCCAGCGCGGGTAGGACGGGAAGAGGGGCGCGCGCGGCGGCTGGGGGCTCGGCCGCGTGGAGGAGGCCTCCGGGTGGCCCTGGAAGTCCCGGCGCGACGTGGAGTACATGGCGCCCAGTTGCAGCCGCAGGTCGGGCCCCAGCGCGAAGTGCGAGGCCCTGAGAAAGTCCTGCAGGGGCATGCAGTACGGCGCGGGAGCAGTTGAGGCCATCGTGGGACCAGACGCCACCTGCGAGGAGGGGGAGACACAAACAGGCAGGTGCACACGGAGGCCCGTGACACCTGCCTGTGTACGGTGTACTGGGTCCTCATTAAGAAATGGGCACTGTCCCGTCCACCACCACCACCACCAACCCCCCAAAGCAAACCCACTGCTATCCGGTCATTTCTGACTCTGTGACCCCATTCAAGGTTTTTGAGACTGTAAATCTTTATGGGAGCAGACAGCCTGGTCTTTCTCCCTTAGAAGGGCTTGTGGATTGAACCTCAAACTTGTGGCTAGTAGCCCAAAGCAAATCTCACAGAGCCACCTTAGAAAGCTAAGCCAGGAATGGACACAGTAACTGTTCAGTGGGTACGCTGCCCCGGGCCCTTGGAGAGACCCGAGGGAATCAAACAACCGAAGGCCCTCACCCTCGGGGAGTTAGTTGACCAAGGGGCAGGCAGGAAACATACAATACCGATTACCCATTGGCCTACTCCGCAAGTTCGGCAGTTTGAAACCAGCAGCGACTGTATGAACGAAAGATGAGACTGTCTGCTCCCGTACAGAGTTACAGTCTTGGAAATCCCCAGGGGCAGTTCTACTCTGTTCTGTAGGGTCGCTACGAGTCAAGTCTGTATCCTCTCCTTGGCAGTGAGACTAAAATCGGCTGCAGAGAATGTTAGCTGTGGTGAGTGGTTGGTGGCGCTGTTGGGAAAGTGTTGGACGGCTATCCTCAAGGTCAGGGGGTCAGATCCACTTCTGTAAAGATCGATGACCTCAGAAACCCTATCTAGGGTTGCTCCGAGTCAGAATCTGGTTCTCCCTCTTTTTTTGGGGGGGGGCCCCTCTGGAGCAGTTAGACTCTGTCCTCTAGGGTCACTATGAGTGGGATTGACTGTACGGCGGAGGTGGGGCTCCTGATGCCATCTGTCGGTGGCACAATGGTGAAAGGCGCAGCTGCTAACTGAAGTCAGCCGTCTGAATCCGCCCCGTGGTGCTGCGGGGGAAAGGCCTGGTGATCTGCTGGCAGGGGACAGCCTGGACGACCCTCTGGGGTCGTTCTCCCCTGTCACACGCATGTGCTGGGCATCCAAAACTAACTGAAAGGCACCCAACATCCGTAGCAACAGGTGCTGTTGAGAAGGAAAGCCCGGCCGAAAGGACGGCTGGGGGCTAAGGGCCGGCGGGTTGGGATTTAAACCAAGGTGGCCAGGACAGGCCTCCCTGAGAGGAGAGTTGAACAAAGACCTGATGATGCGGGTCGGGACCCAGTGCTCCCACGATTTCTAAGGGAGGAGACACAAAGTGCAGCAGGGCTTTCAAACGAGGACTCAGTGGTGGCTGAGTACCCTGGAGCCCATTCCGGTTCACAGCGACCCCCTGCGCCCCAGTAGAACTGCCCCATAGGGTTTCCTAGGCTGTCATCCGTGGTCTACCTCTTGCTTTACAGCCAAGCCCTTCACCCTTGTCCACCAGAGCTCAGCAGGCAGGACTGACCCCTTGAAGACACCGGACAGAGGCCGATGAGCTTGCAAGCCCAGGAACCAGGCCTGCAGCACGCAGGGCTCTATTAGAAACTGACATTAGCGGGGCCTGGTGAGGCAACGACAATTAAGCACCTGGCTGCCCACCCAAAGGCCGGCAGTTCAAGGGCCCCATGGGAGAAAGAACTGGCGAGCTGCTCCTGGAACGATGACAACCCAGGACACCCGACAGTCCAGTTCCACTCTGTCACATTGCGGGGTGTGTGTGTGTGTGTGTGTGTGTG